CACACACACACACAATCAGTCTCATAGGAGGTAATGCCTACAAAATTCATCCTCTGTGAGTGTTCAAACAAAAGCAGCAGTGCTCATTTGCGAGGCAAATGATTGCCCTTGTCGCTATGCCCTTAATGGGCAGGGCAGTAGCCAAACATAGCCGAGGGTTTTCCCGTGGTTTATGGGCGCGCTAACAAACAGCGCTGAGGGCAAGACAAACAAATAACTGGCCCAGGCGAAGGGGGAATCAATTATTATCATTGTTGTCCATTTTTCTTCCTTCGATCATAATTCAAACACGAACCATTATATCCCTATTACTTTCTCAGTTTTCTCCCTTCTGTCACCCTTCTCTCTCTTTTTTTCTTTTTACTGTATATTTTTCTGGGGGCGGGAGGGGGGAGGTGTTGTATATCGCGTCCCCTCGTTCTCTTTCTCTCTCTCTCCTTCTATAGATCTATAGAACATTAATGTAGATCACAGAGATGTACAAAGCAAATATAAAAACAAAGATCTACCTATCGACAAAAAGTATATAGAACAAAAATCTATACCCCAAATATAGAGCTAAGATATATAGAACAAATTATATAGATTAAAAATATGTACACGTGCACAGCAAATAGGAACAAAACCGAAAGAGCAAATATAAAACAAAACAAACAAACAAACAAACAAATGTATAGAACTAGAGTAGGACAAAGATCTACAGAACAAATAATTTGAGAGACCATAGATCTCATCAACAAAAGAAGCACAAAGATCTACTAAACTGATAGAGATCAAAATTGACAGAACAAGCCCGAAGGAGCAGACGACAAAAGAACAAATCAGAAACAGACGACAGTGAAATGTCGCTGCCATTGTCGGGCTTTAGTGACGTCACCAATAAACAGTCTGCCCAACTGTCGTATGAGGTTACCAGATTTCTCTGCCCATTTTTGTGGATGTCTCAAGTTACAGGTTCTATGACGACTTCTATCTTCAACGTATCATATTATTACAGTGATCAAGTTTCGTACTAAAATGATTATTACGCTCTGAGAAAAAATGAAATACTTATGAAGAGCAAAAAAAAAAAAAGGGGGGGGGGAAACGACGGTAGTCACATACTGGAAATTGTGAGGATAGCAATTTTAAAGTCTCATATAACTTCATATGTGTTTGACTGCTGGTTTATTGTTAAGTGTTGTTAAATGGGAAATCTAACAACAATAATCAACCAAGAGTTGGACAGAAATACAGTCACGAGTCAACAAGTGTTCAAAATTGGGACCTTCACGGTTTTCAGTTTGTGACTACCGTCGTTTTTCCCCTGTAGTCTTCATGTTATGGAAAAATGTGTATCTGCTTTTACGTGAACAATTCACAAACTTTGACGTCCAGTTGACCTGTCTCAAAAGTACCTAAAATGCCAACATAAACCTCTGACCCTCC